TATGCAAAAATACGTCATGACTTCCAATGAGCCATTATGTATGGTTTATTTTTAGACTTTCGATTCTTTTTAAAAAAATTATTTATGTATGTAATTCAATTTGTTATGATTACTTTTTCATTTGACCAGAGAGAAATGGAGAGAGAGAAAAGGAAAGCGAGAAAGCAAGCCACCAGGTCCAGGATTCGAACCATGTCAGCCGTGTGGGAGTCTGGTGCCTGTACCACCACGCCACCTCCCAGCCCCTTTAAGTTATACTCTTTTTGGGGGGAGGGGTTTTTGCTATAGGGCGAGTGTGCTCACCAGAGAGACAAAGGGAGACAGAAAGCGAGAAATCACCCCCTGCGGGGGATGACCACGCCACAATCCCTTCTCCTCCATTCTCCTCTTGGGATCTTGGGCACGCACGCACACGCACCTGACGTGAGTTTAAGCCTCCGGATCCAGGACTCAAACCACGGTTAACTACATGGGAGTCCAGTGACATAGCCATTACGCAACTGCTAGTCCCTCAGTTACATTCTTAATGGTTATCTTCGTAAAATGGATTTAATAGTGTCTCCCCAAAATTTATGTCTACCTGGAACCTCAGAACATGCCCAAATTTGAAAATAGGGTATTTGCAGGTGTAATTAAGCTTAAATGGATTCAGACCGGATTAAGATGGGCTCTAATACAATGGCTGGTGTCTTACAAAAAGAGAAAACACACACACACACACACACACACACACAGGGATGAAGGCCATGTGATGACTGAGGCAGAGATTAGAATGGTGCACCTCTAAGCCAAGGAATGCCAAAGATGCCCGGCAACCTCCGGGATGAGCAAGGGAAATTCTTCCTCAGAGCCTCCATTACATGGCCCTGTTAACACTTCGCTTTTGGGCTTTTACCCTCCAGAGCTCTGAGAGAATAAGTTTCTGTTGCTTTAAGCCACGTATTACAGGAAACTAATACAGTTGGGTATTACGTTTGAGAAACTAGTCTGAATTCATAGCCTAGCCTCGATAGTCTAGAAAACTCTGTTCCATCCCTCTTCCTTTATGTTGTTGTTATCGGAAATTACATCTTCATGGGACCAGCAGGTGGCGTGGTGGTTAAGGTGCTGGGCACTCCCACATGGCAGACCACGGTTCAAATCCTGGACCTGGTGGCTTGCTTTCTCACTTTCCCTCTCTGTCTCTGCCTCTCTCTGGTCAAATAAAAAAGAAATGAATTAATAAATAAAATTAAATACTTATTTTAAAAGTTGTATCTTTATACATACACGCATAGTTAGTTATTAACATAGGTTTAAATACTTATTTTAAAAGTTGTATCTTTATACATACACGCATAGTTATTAACATAGGTTTATAATGATTGTTTTACCTATTTATCTTTATTTTGCATTTATCTTTCAAATCTTATAGAAAAAAGAAAAAACATTACTTTTTTATTTTTAGAGAGTTTTTTTTTTTTCTTTGTGGAGAGGTTTTTGCTATAGGGCGCGTGCGCTCGCCAGACAGAGAGAGACAGAGAGACAGAAAGCGAGAAGTCACCCCCCAGGGGGGATGGTCACGCCGCAATCCCTTCTCCTCCATTCTCCTCGCGGGATCTTGGGCACGCACGCACACGC